GAGAAATAATCAAACATTTACAAATTTAGGAAAGCTGCTTGCAGGATTCGCAGAACTGTATATATGGAAGGAAAAGATAAGGCGTTCTCTGGGGCAGAATGTTTTTTCGTCTGAGCTTTCGCACTCCTGCTCGAGCAAATCATCGGAAATAGACATTTGGGTCAAGACATGAGTTAAAATAGGGGGCTTTCTGCTCCTTCTGGGTGAGTCCATTGTCCTCTCGTCTCATTGGAACCCATCTCGTGCGCATGTACGACCTTGTGGCATGGTATGGCCCTGGGAGATCTATACTGCAGTTAATTAAGGACGCGATCACGGAACTCATAAGTTTACCTCTCTGGCGTTTCAAAAGTATGCAAGCTTCCGCCATCAGAAGTGGGTTTATGCCGCGCCTCACATTATTTACAGTAAGTGAAAGTCATAGGCAATAATGCAGAGAATGGGAGCCGGGGCCTTGAGGCGGATTAAACTCAGTCAAGGGGTTTCCCGTCAAGTTGTGTTGTTTGCGCCTGTGCAACTGTCATCGACCTCAGCTGTCGTCACAGGCCAGTAATTCTGATTGCATTCACACGTCCACACGGTTTCGCATCTCCAGGATGAGTGGATGAAGCGGCTGAGCTGATGATTGCTCTTTCCGGTTGGGGCGCGGCTATGCGTGTATTCCCCATGGGCTCGCAAGGGCCAAGATTCACGTTCCATCTATTTTTATGTTCTCTCTTTTCCTCATTGAGCCTCGTTCGGAGGGCCAAATAAGTTGTAGGAAGCGCCACACAACGGTTGATGGAAGCTGTCCCCATTTGCTAGGCCTCGTTTGTTTCCCTGATTACTCGGTCATTTCCTCGACCTAGAATTTCGACATCCTGGAAGGCGAATTTGTGTCCGAAGTCTGCGAAGTGTTCCGCCATCAAAGAAAGTGGGCCCATTCCACTTACTGCCCTGCTGTGTTCTGCCATTCGGGTCTGCAATCGCTTCCCAATCTCTCCAAAATTTCCGACCGCGCTGGAATCACACTTGACCCGGTATATGATCTTTGCGGTTTCACCTCGAGGCAGAGGTTCCTTCAGTCGCATGGCCAGATGTCGTGTTGTTGCCTCTGGTCCCCAGTAGCTTTAAGATATATATCTATATATATATATATTGATTAATCATGAATCGACAACGTTATGCACGGTAGGGTGCTTACCAATCTGGCTAAGGAGCTCAGTCGAGGCAGTCAGTCAGGCAGTCGCGTAGCGACTTGCAGAATATGATGAAGTGGAACTGTCAAGGACCAGGCAGATCGGAATGGCCATTTCTGCCTTTTTTGCCATTATAATCCAATCATACCCAATCCCAGGGATGGTGACCCGCTATGATTCGAACACGGGATCGTTTATCATTGAGTACAGCACTCTACCATTGCACCACAGACTCGTTGCTCTTGTCAGTAGCGATCGCGCATGCGATCACCGATATAGTTGCGGAACATGCTTGGTCCATTTGTGCCTTGGAGCTCAATCTAGATCTCTCGAAGGCAGTTGCATAGAGGCCCATGGAATATGATGGAATGGAACTCCTCATGCTGCTCTGGGACTCAGTCCACCTTTAAATCGCTGGTACGTATGTTTATGTGTACGTTTTGAAGTGATGTATCGCATTTCGCTTGTTGTAGAAATTTGACTGCGTCACTGGAGCACTCACCGTTCACATTGTGGGACACACTCTTGCTGTTTTACATTTAGGACTCATTCGGCTCTGCTGCCACGGGACGGCTACTGTCACAGAACCTAAACAGTCCCGACAAAAAGCAGAGAGACTCCTATAACAATTTCTGCCTGTTGAGCTAGAATTTGCTGCCGTTTCTGTATAAAAAGATTGCTCATACTCAATGCAACTATTTTTTTTGCCACTACGGTTCCACGGTAGCCCGACAATAAGTCCACATAGAAGGTAACAGTTGTATGGTGTTGTTCAGTTGAACTTAACTGTGGAACGACGAGCGAGGGACCTCGCTGCCCCTGAGTTCACCTTGAAACCCTTCCGTATCAGCAAGCAAATACAAGCAGCCGATCATTTAGCGTTTGACTAAAACAAAAGCCGTAATATGTTCACGGAAGACATTGCTAGCATTTTAGTATCGTAAACTGACTGCGTCTCAAAGTCAGACCTGGCAGTCCGGGAAGTACCGCAAAATTCTTTAGAAGCACGCCTTGTCAACCGAACAACAAATAAAATACGGCTTATTTGTAGGAATTCCCGATTACAATGCTTGCCTTATCACATTTGCCTGTGTATTTGGCTGTCTTTTTGATACAGCTTAATTCGACTTTCCTCCCGCTTTGTCCATCCAAGCTTTCAGCTCACGCGTGCATGTTGTTTTGCTTGTAGAATTAGGTCGACTGCAGGTTTCTATGCGGAGCGCGAATTCACTGGGGGTCTATTGGTTGACCAGCCCAATGGGCTCGACGGGTCGTTTCTTCAGGCTTAAAGTCGACAGCGCATGGAGTCCCTCCTGTCGTGAGATCGATGACGGTGCAGCCTTCTTTTGCGATGCCACCAATCTGGAACCAAATAGGGCGTATGCATTACAGCTGTTCCTCTGCTTGGAGTTTCTTGAACCCATTGAATGTCAGGCGGAGACCTTTATTCGAACGGTGCGTACGGAACACAATGGTAAGTAACCGGTGGGGAGGGGTATGGATTTTTTGGTAAAATAATTTGGTAATTTGCGCTAGGTTCCCTCTCGAACTGGCCAGTCGTCGCAATACGACTGCTACTACAGGGTGTCCCAGAAGTAACTGACCCTTTTGATTTGCTAATAAAACGAAAACTATTGACGCTAGGATATTGAAACTTGTTTTATTCGAAAGACATAATTCTAGAATTTGGTGTGATGAAAATCCAAGAGAAATTCAAGAAAGGCCGCTGCATTCTCTTCGTGTGACTATTTGGTGCGGAATAACTGCTTCCAATGTGATTGTCCCATACTTTCTTTAAAATCAGTTAATGGTGAAAGATACCGAACTATGATTAGCGAATTTCTAATTCCTGAAATTGAGAGACATGGCCTCGCAATACTTGGTTTCAACAGGATGGAGCCACGGACCATACAGCAAGAGAAACGATGACATTGTTAAAGGAGTGCTTTCCAAATCATTTGATTTCACGAATTGGTAACATGCATTGGCCCCCTCGGTCTCCAGATTTGATCCCATGCAATTTCTTCTTATGGGGCTACCTGAAGTCAAGGGTTTATGTAAAAAATCCAAC